TTTCTTCTGGTATTTTTTATATAGTTTTAGTCTTTACATCTTTGATTTATCTTAAGTTGATTTTTGTATACAGTGAAAGATAGGGGTTCAGTGTCATTTTCTGCATATGATAATCCAATTTTCCCAGAACAATTTATTGAAAAGGTTGTCGTTTCTCTCATCTAAGTTCATGTCTATTTTATCAAAGATCAGTTGACTGTAAAAATGTGGCTTTATTTCTGGGTTGTCTATTTCATTCCATTAATCTATGTGTCTATTTTTATACCAATACCATACTGTCTTGGTTACCATTGATGTGTAGCATAATTTGAAATCAGGTAATGTGATGCCTTCAGCTTTGTTCTATTGCTTAGGATCGATTTAGCTATTCAGGTTGTTTTCTGGTTCCATATGAATTTGTAATTGTTTTTCTAATTCTGTGAAAAATGATGTTGGTATTTTGATAGTGATTGCATTAACTCTGTACATCGCCTTGAGCAGTATCATCATTTTGATGATATCAGTATTCATTCTTCCAGTTCATGAGCATGAGATGTTTTTCCATTTGTTTGCATTACCGATGACTTCTTTCATCAGCATTTTGTATTTTTCCTTGTAGAAATATTTTACCTTATTGGTTAAATATATACCTAGATATTTCATTATTTTTTTGTAGCTATCGTAAATGGGATTGTCTTCTTAATTTGGTTTTCACTTAGATTGTAATTAGTATATAGAATCAATACTGATTTTTATACACAGATTTTGCATCCTGCTGTATTCATTGATCAAGTCTAGAGATTTTTGGTGGAGTCTTTAGTTTTTCTAGATACAAGATTACATCATCAGTGAACAGGAATAATTTGACTTCCTCGTTTCCATTTGGATGCCTTTAATTTTTTTTCTGTGCCTGGTTGCTCTGGCTAGGATTTCTAGTACTATGTTGAATAGAAGTAGTGAAAGTTATTGCCTCTTCTTGGTTTTCTTAAGCAATTGCTTAAGAAATAGTTTATCTCTTCTTTTTTCATCTGGATGGTAGTTGTAGCCAAATATACCACTCTACTTCTACTCGCTCTTTCCTAATGAACTCCGAATTATCTTCTGATAATGTACTTCTTTTTTAGCAATATTCAAGACTTGTAAATTTCAGAGTAAAATCAGACTACTTAGTCCAAAAATGGCCTTCCTATACTACCAGCCCCTCTCAAAATGCCCAGTCTTAAAAAACATGCTGCATCCCTTTCTCTGCTAATAAATTCACATGCTAGTACATATTCAAAATGCTTTTCTTCTCACTCACCCCAACCTTGTCTTTTGGCTTATCCTATTTTATTTTAAGAATGCCCTTTCCTTTCACATTTCTATATGCTAATGCTTTATCATTCAGCGTCCATGTGCTATGATTTAGACATTTGTCCTCTTCAAACTTCATGTTCCAATTTGATCCCCAAGGTGGCAATGTTGGAAGGTGGGGCCTGGTGGGAAGTGTTTGGGTCAGGTGGGTGAATTCATTATGAGTAGATAAATGCACTCTGTCAAGGGTGAGGGAGTTCTTGCTTTATTTGTTACTTGACAGCCGGTTGTTAAAAAGATCCTGACAGCCCCCTCTTCTGCTTCCTCTGTCCCCATGAGATCCCACCCATCTCTCAACACATAATATCTTGGCACACACGGGCTCCCTTCTGCTTTTTGAGATGAGGCCCTTACCAGATGCAGGTACCCAGTCTTGAACTTTCCAGTCACCAGAATCGTGAGTTAAATAAGCTTAGTTTCCTTATAAACTACTCAGTCTCAGGCATTATGTTATAGCAACTCTAAATGGACTAAGATACCACATAAGTACTGCCTCTTCCCCAAAGCCTTCTGAGATACTCCCCTTGCTCCCCACTTATACACACACCTCAGATTAGCCTTGAGATTGTATTTCTCCAGGAATGACAGTCACAGTATTTAACCTCTGCATGCACGGTCATCCATGGATCAGAACCTAGCTGGCTGAATGTACTGGTTGAATGGCCAGCCTGCAGTCCTGCAAATCTCTCAACTGCTTTTCCTCATGTTCTTCAGGAAGAGTTATCAGTCATCTTCCTAGCTAAAAGGTCACTACTCTGTGGTCCTATAGCACCTGCATGTGCCTCTGTCACGCACTAATCACCCTGTGCTAGAATCACACTGTCCTATTGTCTCCATGCTCTGCCAGGTAGAACACCTGGCATACCTAGATACTCAGTAAAAGCTTGTTGCCAAACTGATTAACATTTTTAAAAAAATGAATTGAGGCCAAACACCAGTCTTAATATGTCCCAATCACTCTTCCTAGTAATTGCATTTATAAAGTGCTCAGAAAATATTTGTTGTATTAAATTTGAGCTCTTGATCTCTAATAATATCTTAATAATAATGATGATGATACTGCCAAACAATGACATATCAGTCACTGTGTGCCAGTCACTGAATTAAGTGCTATATAGGTACTTATTTAATCCACGTCTACTTTAGTGAGGTGGTTCTCTTATTTTTCCTGATTTATAGAAGAAAACAGAAGCACAGAGAGATTAAATAAACTTTCTAGAATCCTGCACCTCATCAGTGGAATGGCCAGGCTTCTAACCTAGTAAGTCTAACTCCAAATTCACTACTTTTTTGCTCCGAATTAATTTCAATGAAAGCACTTTTTGATCTGATGAAACCATTGTATATATTTATTGTTTTCTTTTCCCAACCAGCCACCCTTTCCATTAACTAATATTCTGGCACTGTTCACAGTGACTTGTAGAATACTTTCAATCAAAAGCATGTAAATAACTATCTTACCACCAACATTCATCCTTGAAATCTTCTTGCTAAGACATGCAACTGTTGCCTCTACCCTTAAACTATTTATTTCCTGCCTCTATTTTTTCATTTGCTTTGCCTTGGTTTTCTAGCTGAGGACAACTTGTAAAAGTCTGTTCCCCCTTCACCCTGCCTTCAGCACTCAGCTTCTCAGTAACTCATTCATTCCCTGGGCATTGGCTACCACTAATACCACAGTGCTTTCAGTATGTTTTCTTCTCATCTTAATTTCTCACCCACATTTCAGTCCCAAGTCTCTAAAATAGATATTGGCTTTTCTTTGGCAATTAAATAAAAATTACCCTGAAGATTATTATTCTTATCTTAATTTATATTCTCAAATATTTATCTCTTAATTATATTAGTAGCATTACTTGACTAATCTTTTGAACTAATTATCATTGAAATATGTTTAATGAGATACGTTTAGCATATTGTAATGATAATTTCTTTTTTACTTAAAAAACAAAATACATACATACATGTGTATCTTAAATCCATCCATCTAGGTCTTAAATCTATTTCTCTCTCCATTTTTTGAATTTATCTTCTTATCCCTCTTTCCTCAATCCTTTTACAGTAAACCTGATCCTTATTACCTTGTGCTATGGTTTGAATGTATCCCCCCAAAAACATGCATTGAATATTTAATGCCCAATGCAACAGTGTCGGGAGCTGGGGCCTAATGGGAGGAAGGCACGAATGAATTAATGGTATTATCAGGGACAGTGGGTTTGTTATTGCAGTAATTGATACATTATAAAAGAGAGAGTTTGGTCCTTTTCTCTGTCTTGTTCTCTTTTGTCTCTCTACCATGAGATAACACAGCAAGAAAATCCTTCCTAGACACTAGTTTCCTGATCCTGGGCTTCTCAGACTCCAGAACCATTAGCAAATAAATTTTGGCTCATTGCAATTTACAGCAGCACAAGTAGACTGAGAAAGCTTGCAAATGGATGGTGACGATAGTTTCTCATATGGCCTCTCCCTGCATCTTCCCTCTGTTCCAATTATCAGTCGTACATTGAAGTAATTATACTAAAACCTTCTTCATAAGGATCATTTCTAGGTGATAGCATTATAAGTGATTTCAGTTCCTGTATTTATTATTTTCTATATTTTAAAAATTTTCTGCAGTGAACGTACTTTCTTAAAAACAATTATTTTAATTATATTTTTTTCACAAGAAAAAGCACAATAGCAGCTACGTTTTAAGATACTCTAAGGGACTTTTTTTAAAAAATAAAATCTAAATAGGCATTATTAGGACCCTTCCCAGCCACTCAGTTAGATATGCTGATCAGCATAGACTCTTGCTCAACCTCTATGACCAAGGAGCTGTTCACCAAGATACAGGATTGCTCAGAGCTGCCCTTAATAATTTATATGTTCATCTCCTTCCCTTGTTAGTATGGGAATTCTAAGACTGGCTCATTCATTCCACAAATGTTTATGAGATGCATCTTAATGATCAAATACTTGAAATTGAATGACTGAGTGGTGATCAAAGCATGTCCGTCTGCATTTTCATGTTGCTTACAGACTTTTCATCTTTACATCTCTCAGCCCCTAGTGTAGTGTTAAGCACCCAGGAGAGCTCTCAAATAACTACTCTTGATTTAGGATTTCTGTCAGTCTACTGTATTAGATTGTCAAAATTATAATATTAATAGAATTATGTAAACCTCACTGTCTCTAATCAGGTAAGGGAAATATTTTAGACATTAAGCATTTTTAATTTCAGAAAAATTTTTTTTCAACTTTTATGTTAGATTTGGAGGTACATGTGCAGGTTTGTTACATGGTCTAGAAAATATTTTTAATCTTAACAACATATATCCCAGTTATATATCAATGAAAAAGTAACCTTCCTTCCCACACCCCTGCCACATAACCAATTTTGAAACCAAATAATATGCTAGGTATCCAAAATAACATCAGAAATAAACAATAATTTATCCTCAGTGGTTGGTGCCTCATCTCAATATGTAGAGTCCCTTATAACTGCACTCCTGTATTACAGGTATTATAATATACTATCTATAGTTCTGCTTTCCTTAATACCTCCTTTCTCAGGTTCTGAACACGTGTTTGTAGCTTATCCCTGTGGTAAATATTTTACATGTATCACTTGTTAATTTCTTACAATAAGGACATGAAGTAATTTTATTATCCTTATCTTGCAGATGAAACTCTGAGGCTTTCAGAGACAGGAGGTGCTGTGCCAAGGCCACACCATTGGTAAGTGAAATTGACACTGAAGGCTGAGATCTCAATGGCCAAGTCCTTGCCAATGCCCATGTCTCAGTTCACATGGTGGTGTCATGTCTCCTTGTAGCTTAGTGAATCACTGGCCTGGTTGCATCCTGAAAAACCTGGTTTATATCCGGTCTGTCCAGATACGGGTGTGTACAGAGTGTGCCTGTTTTCAGAGTATGCCTGGAATCAGCCCCAGGTCATGGTAAAATAACCAAGGAAGTAACCCCTTTATCAAGTCCGTGGAAGCCAGCCCAATGGCCCCAATCTCCTTTCAAACTTCTCCCTGCTATTGGGATGGTTGTCATTAGTAACCCGTGTTTCTCTATGCATGTTTCTGCATTGCTATTCTCATCCAGCCTCCTTAAATAATAGGGCTGAATCTCTCTTGTGGATTACTCTCTTTTCTAAATCTTATTCTCATGTAGAGGGCCCAGAATGTGCTAGGAATGAGGAAGTTTGGGTTTTTGTAATTAAGGTAATTTGGGGAGGAGGGAGGTTGATTTCAGTTTTACATGCTGAGTTCTCAAGGTAGAACTAGGTTACTCCAGTAAGAAATCTTTTCCTTCTTTTTGGGGTTTTTCTTTTTTAAAGTTGCTATCATGACATCCAATGTCGCTGCATGATACTAATGTAAAGTGTCAGATTCAATCAAATAATGGTGTCTGTCTAATTGTTTTGCAAATGAACAACCCAAGTCACTTACATTCAATGTAGCTTGACTTTATAAAGATTTAAATAGAAAAGGTGATTCTCTAGAAGAGTGATCTTTGCAAGATTCCTGAGCTACTTGTGCAATGTGGAAAGCTCCTAGCTATTCATCAGCTTGGCTTATTTGACCCAAATGAGGTGAATGGAAAAGATATAAATTCTTAGTATGTGACACCCTCACCTGCCACCTGTCACCTGTCACCTCCAGGTCAGAATCCTGAACTTCTCTTAACATAAACTGAAAAGGAAGTTGAAAACCCTTTACCTACTGCGAAGTGTTATTTTGTTTAAAGCTTCACAACTACAGTGCTGATGGGGGTGTTCACCATGCCTGGCAGCTGCCTTTGATTTACCTGGGAACCCTGAAATGAAAATCACAGCCAGCCATCACCTGAAAATTATTGGGGTGGAGTGCTGGGAGAAATTCTTTGAATTTATGATTTATTTGCTCTTCTGGTCACAGGTAGTATTTCATATCCCACTCTAGACTAACATACTCAGCTGTGTGTATGGACATGGCCATATCAATTGTTAAAATATTAAAATACTTCTATGCCAGCTGATAAATAATCACTGCATTTTTAGCCTCCTAAGTAACTCCCTTCCAGTCAAAGACCTTCCTGAAAGATCCCAGGAGATTCTCACAATCCAGCAAATAAGAGAAATAACCCTGACAATGGTTAACCAACTCTTCCTTGGTTACTTTACCATGACCTGGGGCTGATTCCAGGAATACTCTGAAACCCTGACAAGGGTTATTTCTCTTATTTGCTGGATTGTGAGAAGCAAGATTCTTCTGGAACGCTGTACCAATACTCAGGCTTCTGCCATTCTGTTATTAAATATTTAAAACATTGCCCTGAAATGAGGAATGAAGAACTTGAGTGGACTAGCTTTTACACAGGATCTATTGTAAAAATACTCTTTTGTTGGTTGCTTTGAATCTTTTAAAAAAACTGCCGTGGACGATATTATCTATTATGGGTTTATTGTCTCTCATTTTGGGATTCATGCAATACATTTTTTAATTTCTTCAAGAGTGTCTTACTCTGGGAACGTGATTTTCCTCCCAAGAGAAACAAAAACTAAAAGACGTTGTGTCTTTTAATCAGGCAGGAGGAATACGTTGCAATGTAGTTGTCTTTTTAGTTTGTCTTTCTGGAATTCTAGTACTAAAAGTAATACCTAGTTGAACAATAAAATTACGCAAGCTAATTGATGTGTCCATCTTTCCTGTTAAATGACTGATTTGCTAATTTTAAAATTTTATTCTCTTTAATGTGATTTAATGTTATAAGTTGCACTAAAAAGAATTGGGGATATGGGGACAGGTTTTTAAAAAATCATACCTAATTGGAACATGCTGTGTGCTTGGCTGTGCTAAGTGCCTTGGGTATCAAGAGCTGCAGGGATGCCCCAGTGCTTCACTGTGTTCTCCTGAACAACTTCCATGCCTTTGCAGTTATTTCTCTGAAGTCGGAACTGAGATCTCTTATTATTAAAATAAAAACAGGGCCGGGCATGGTGGCTCAAGCCTGTAATCCCAGCACGTTGGGAGGTCAAGGCAGGTGGATCACGAGGTCAAGAGATCGAGACCATCCTGGTCAACATGGTGAAACCCCATCTCTACTAAAAATACAAAAAATTAGCTGGGCATGGTGGTGCATGCCTGTAATCCCAGCTACTCAGGAGGCTGAGGCAGGAGAATTGCCTGAACCCAGGAGGCAGAGGTTGTGGTGAGCCGAGATCACGCCATTGCACTCCAGCCTGGGTAACAAGAGCAAAACTCCGTCTCAAAAAAATAAAAATAAATAAAAACAGGTTTGAATAAATATTAAAAATCCATTTGATTGTCCGTGTTTCCTACTCAGGAATCTTCTGCTAAGGTTTGCAAACCTTTAAAGTTGACCTGGTTAGATACGAGGAAAGGAAATCTGAAAATATTCATTATAATGTTATTCATATTTTACATTTTGCCTTGTGTGATATTTACTTAGCTCATGGACAGTTGTGATCTTCCCAACTGCTTCTTTTTCGTAGCTTCCTTGTAGCCATTCACATGAATGTGTTTATTTTGTAGAATTGGTAAAGGCAGAAAGAAGTTAAATTCAAAACATTTTGTGAAATAAATTAACTAGAAAAAGAAAAAGGGGGTTGGAAGTTAAATGTTGAGAAGACTGCTTGGGGTGTATGCCAGTTTTCAATTGTCTGTGCATTTCATTTTCAAGAACATTCTCTTTTACCCTATATACCTTGGATGATAGGCCAAAATAAATAAAAAACCTCTTTAATGCATTCTATGTACTTTCAGTAGTCTGTGCATTCCATAAATTTTGAGTCATTATGCTTTCATCTTTGTGCGTCTTATTCAAGATTTTATACATAATATGTGCTCAGTGATTGTTTACTCAATTTTATGTATTATGTGCTTAGCACACTGGAGAATAATTAGGTCCCTTTGACTTACAATTTCAGTGTGTTTTAAATCTCTCATTTAAAGTTCTGCCATTCTGCCAATCAAAATAGTAATCATTATCATCCATCTGTTCTACCTTTACAGTTTACCCAATCAATCAATAATATATTACTGTGTGCCAAACACATTTCCAAAAAAATGCATATCTAAATAAATCATTTTCCCAATAAATTTTACTTACTTTACACATTTAATGTAGGTAAGTAAATACTTTTCTAGATAATGGACTAAATTAAAATAAAATTTTGAAAAAGGTCTGCAGGAACAGAAAGGAAGCTTCATCAACTCTGTACTAGGAAATTCAGGAAAATCTTCACAGAGGGGTTGATAATTGTGCTGTAATTGATGAATTCAGGTGACAAATATTAATATGAGTTTCCTGGTGAAAGGAAGCAGAATGGGCAATGACATTCCAGATTATTGAACTCCCTTGTTCAATAATTGCTTGTTTAAGAAGGAGATGTTCATGTTGGATAGGAAGGAGATACGGTAGATCAACTCGGAGAGGTATGGGAGATGCTGTTGTGATAGACCTTTCATACCATCCTATGAACTTTGGAGCTTTAGTCTATAGGTAAAGGACAACTAACAGAGATAGTTGGCCATGGACTTAAATTTCAGCTATCAGCTTGTGTTAATACTCACAGACCAATGCAAAGGGGGCAGCATCTCACTTAGATTTTTCTTTGCAGCTTACCTAACTCATAGGCTCCTGTGTTGTGATATTATGCAGAAGCCTTGCTACAAAAATGTGAGAACTTATAGTTTAAAAGATGGAAGTAACATGCTCTTCAATTGATATGTATTACTAAAAGAATTTCTTTTTAAACAACTTGAAATATTCATGACTAAATGTTGAAACGACATGCTACCATTTATTTTAAAAATATGGTATTCATTTCTTTATCATTTTAGATTATAATGGAAACCTTGACTTCTATACACTATGCTGCAAATTCAACTTGTACCTAAAAAGTATTCATGCTTGGCTTATGTGACATCTGTTGAGAAATTTAAATTACCCATTGACAGAGATCATTCAGATAGGAAAAGCTAAAGCTACGTAGAAAAAATTGAAAGGAAGTGAATTGGGCAGCTGCAGGAGAGAAATGATAAATCATCCATTTATGTCAAAGGAAAGTGCCTGCTTCTGTATTGTTAGTATGTCATGTAGTTCAGATCTGAAATACAAAGCTAATAATTTTTTCTTATATATAGCATCTGTCCATGAAGGGCTCAAACAGCATTTATATAATGGTTTCTCACAATATTTCAGTGGAATAAGGGATAGCCTATGATTGTAATTTATAGATGAAGAGATGGCAGTGATTGCTAGCAGAGTACTAGAGATGTTGTGGCATCACTTGTTAGGGATTTGGTGCAACAAGCAGGCAAACCAGAGGACAAGTCTGCTGTAGGTGGCTGAATTGTGGAAGGCAACGGACTATGTGAAGATAGCTCCAGAGGTGTCATCAGAAATGGGGATTGCATAACGCAAGATGGCCTGCATTCCTGCACTATTTGAAATAAAGAAATATAGAAGAAGTAAATGATCTTCCCCAAACTGAAAAAAGTCTCTAATTTTTCTAGCCTGATTCTTTATCCCCTGGGCTCAAAGGTGTTCTTTTTTTTCCATTACTTGATGTAGTTGCAATAGAGAATATTTTTATTTTGTTTTGTAATAAGAGAATAATGCCAATTTTAAGTAAAATGTAAATTTGTTAGCACAATATAATTGTTGCATTTATTTATGTAGAAAAATGAAGGAAGTTGGGAGACTGTCTTATAATCTGCTTGT